CAACCTTTTGACTATTCAACTCGTGTTCTTGAGACGTGAGACAGGTTGAAACACGTTGAAAGCATCCCTAACGACAGCTGATGATGCGGAGTGTTTCCAACAAGGGCAATTACCATAAGTAGGTTTGCGTTGGAAGATGCTGTACTAATGAGGATCGGCTTTTGTACAGTTGAAGATCCGAGACAGCTTCCAGCCCTCTAGTAGTCTGTGGCAGGATATATCGACTGGAAACTCTCGGAAATGTTCGCAGATCTTCGTTGCTTCTCGGATACTTTCACTAACTTCTTACTGCCTCATGTACGTAAATGCTAATGTTGGTTCATTGTTGTAGTTGAGTGAGATTGTTATGTTGTTGTTGTTGGTTTTAATATTGGTTTGTCAATAAACATATTAAAGGTATCAGTAATCTGATACGTACTTTCTCCCATTAGCTTGTCAACAACCTTTATCATGGGTAAGCGATGAGAGTAACTATGTTAATATTTAGTAGGTAAAATCACAAAAGTTGCATTAACTTTTGAACCGTAATTTTTACCAGCTTGGGGGAGGGTTGCACTAGGTTCTTAAGAGTTATAAGGACCATCACATACTAATTTAAATCAAAACCGGTTTTTTAGAAAATCCAATTTTCTCTCCTTTTATTGGAAAATAACATAATAACATTAGAACCCTAATTTTTACTGAAGTAAATTTCGACAATCCTATTAATTTACATATTATTTATGAAGTACATAACACTATTTTTATTTTGTTTTTATTTTTTAATAACAAAGAAGTTATCTATCATGATTATATACTTACGGATTGGATTTTCTAGCATTTAGGAAAAATTTATGTTTAAAAATATTCATTTAATGTTTTTTAAAATAATATTTTTATCTATATATTAATTTGAAACTGTTTTTCTTTGTCACAGCTAATTTGAGAGAACGGCTGGGCGTAGAAACTAGTTAGGAACGAGGAACGAGGTAAATTACCTTGGGGTTCTACCCCAGAAGCCTTTAAAGTTGCCTCTTCAGATTTGTTTACATTATGACCATATGAATAGTTCTACACTACTTTTTAATTAAACAGATGTTATATTTAAATTGTGATTTATTGAATTTGTCAAAATAAAGTACAGTATTTGCAAGGGGTTTTCTGATTTTAAAATTGATTTTCTTCTGCATCGTGTCATGTTTTGCAATATAATGTTCTATTACCAAATCAGTGGAAAATCCTAATATCACAGTAACTCTTAAAATTATTTCTCATGGAGTTAACTTATATCTATTGTATGGGTTGGTTTCTGTCTTTTTTACCACTTCTTGGAGATTAATGTCTGTATCCAATAGGTGATATTCTCTGGCATATTGCATCTGTATACGAAACTTGGGTTGGTGTAATTATTACAATGGAAAAGAGCGACAATCCTGGACAATTTGATATAGGCTAAAAATAAAACTGAATTAACACTGTGCTACATTTCTTGAGTAATCGTTGAAATAACCGATTTGCAAACAATGGAAACACAGAAAAAGTCATAGAACAAAACCAAGTAGAAGAAATAGAAATTTTTTTTTTTCATTTATAATCGTTATTATAGACAACCTAATACTGCTATGAGAGGGACAAATTTGTAGAAAACGCTAAAAAAACAAGATCAGCTTTTTGAAAAAAGATAACATATTTACAAAAGATTTTGATTATATCTAACTGTTGTATAGATCATGAGTATTTCCATAATTTTTTAGTCGCCTGTAAAGCTTCGCAATTGCTCGAATTCGAGCAACAGGTACACTTGTTAATAGTAATACACAAAAATAAATACTGTTTTATATTTTAACCATGAATTTTTTACAATAAAGTCCATAAAACAAATTATCACCATTGTTTTACTTGTACATACCTGTATAAATAGTCAAAACTGTGTTCAGTATGTTTTGACTACTCTTGACATAAATACCAGAGATAAAATATAGTATAGTGTTTATTCAAAACATGAGCATACAAATATTGAAGACGACTGTCATAAAATCTACATCTCAGTAGGAAAATTATATTTTTTTATTGGCCATATTATTTCATCATCAAAACGCCAATCGTTTATGTAATATGCATGTATTTGTATGATGCGTTCACGTTGTTGTCTCACATAAAGATATTCAGGGGAATAAATGTATAACATTAGTATCTAGAAATTCGGCAACAGATCTACAAGTCTTTGATGAAAAAAATTCTTTGTGATTCGCCAAAAAATAACAAATAATATTTTCATGTACATGAAAATAGTTGGTTACTCTTTTATTAGTTTTAACGATAACGATTTACTCATAGTTTCGAATACCTCAGAGTCAAAGTTAGCAATGGATAAAGGTTTAATGACTTTCCCAAATAATCCGAGTAGATTTTGTATATACATAATTTAATATTTTGTTTGACAAACATGAATAAATGTAGTATTAATAATATCCTAAGGATGCCAGTAGGAAGACCAAAAGCCAGGTGGTGGGATTAAGTCCGGAAAGATATGGATACAATGAGTCTTATAAAGGAAGATTTGAGGTAACGAGGGGTTCGGCGACAACGGGGTAACGAGGTAATACCAGCTCGGGGACAGTAAGTAATTAATATTTTAATAACTTGCCTATGTAAATAGTTTATGCACTTTTGTTAGTTAGCAACTAATTTAATTGATCCTGTCTACCAAAAGTCTATTATGTGACGACAATCTTCATTTCCAAAATTTGAACTTAAGAATTTCGTAATAGAATCAAACAAAAGAATCTCCTTAAGTTTCAAAAACTGTCGAGGGTGAATTCATAATTTAATGCAATGACCACTGTCAACACTAGCTAACAAAGAGAATTTTGATAACACTTAGCCGAATCTGAATGGTAAGTCCAATATCGTATGTCGCTTCAGTCTGTAAATGGTGTTGTGATTGTCCAATAAATTAAGTGCAAGATGATTTGGATGATTTTCCAATTTTATAATGCATTTTTCACTAGATTTTGTAATTTCTTCATTGTGATCATTGTGAAGTGTTCTGTTGGTAACAAACCAAGGAGCGTTGACAATTTTACGTAATAGTTTTGATTGGTAACGTTGAATAATTTCAATGTTTGAGGTACTTGCTGATCCCCAAAGCTGAATACCATAAGTCCAAATTGGGTTTAGAACAGTTTTGTACAGTAACAATTTATTTTGTGTACTGAAATTTGATTTAGATCCAAGAAGCCAATTAAGTTTAGTTGTTTTTTAAATTTAGATGTTGTCTTTTAGTCCAGATATGTGCCTTCCAATTAAGCTTTGCATCTAAGTGCATGCCCAAGTATTTTATTTCTGTTACTTAAAGGAGGTGAATATTGTTCATAGATACTGGAGGACATGTAGCCTGATTTAAGGTAAAAGTAATGTGTGCTGATTTATTTTTATTCATTTTGAACCCCCATGTTTCAAACCAATGTGAAATTTCATCCAAGTTTAGCTGTATATTTGCTGTAGCTTGAGCTGGATTGTCGTGGACAGATAAAATCGCCGTGTCATCCGCAAATGTAGCACCCATGGTGTTTACACTTTCTGGTGGGTCGGATGTATAGAGAACATACACGTATGGTCCAAGCACGCTTCCTTGGGGGATTCCTGATTCTATAGGTCAGTTAAGTAATTTTGATGTTTAATTTGGAAAGTTCTGTTGGTAAGATATGATTTTAAAATAGGAAAATCTGAATGGGGTGGTAACTTCTTAATTTTGAATAGTAAGCCAGAGTGCCATACTTTGTCAAATGCCTGACTGACATCAAGGAAAGCAGCAGAACAAAATTGTTTGTTTTCCAAACAGTTTCGAATTGTATGAACAACCCTGTGGACCTGTTCCACGGTGCCATGTCTCCGTCTGAACCCGAATTGGTGTCCTGGAATGACGTCGTCTTCTTCAAAAAGAGCTTGAAGTCTTTTGAGGAACAATTTCTCAAACAACTTAGACACTATAGGCAAGAGACTTATAGGTCTGTAGGAAGTGATTTCATGAGGAGGTTTCCCTAGTTTTGGTATCACAATTAATTGGTTTTTTTTTTTTAATTGAGATGGTATGTGGTCTAGTCTCAATATAGAATTAAAGAGAAATGTAATAAAATAATTCCTTTCCTTGGCAGCTCTTTTAACACTTTCTCAGTGACAGAGTCGTAACCAGGAGATTTTTTTCGGACTTAGCGATTTGTCAATGGTTGCCTTAATTTCTGTAGGTCTGAATTTTTCCAGAGGAAAGTCAAGTTGAAGTGGAGAGTCAAAGAATTCTATTATTTCTTCTTCATTATTGACCACACCAACATTGGGCTTGAATACATTGGAAAAGTAATCCCCGAAAGCTTCAGATTTTTCTATGTCACTCTTAGCCCAAGCATTTTTTTAATATATTGGCCAAGAATTGTAAAAACCAAGCATAAATAAATATTTAATTTTAAATAAAGTTCAATGGATGGATAAAATTCTTTTAATTGCACCCTAATCCAGATTCTTGTCAGTTTTCAGCTCTTAAATAATAAAAAATAAGTGACACATAGATGATTTATCCTAATGCATATTTCCTAGACAAAATTAATTTTAGTACACTGGGATTTTATAATAATTACAATGGCATGAGTTTTTAAAAACTAAGCCAAAACACTGTTCATACATCAGTATTTAAACTTATAAAAAATTATTATTTTAAACTGTCATTGAAAAAAATAAAAATTAAAAAAATTAAAAACTCAAATAAAAATCCATAAAACTTTTTCACCTCCTCGACAAAATAACCAACACTCCTCTGTGCTTAGATAAATTCAATTATGTTTAAACATAGTTAATAAACACCTCCATTTTACCCTTAATTTTTAAACCCGCATATTTACTCTCCGAGTGAGGTTCACCCTCGAGAGAGTAGGGGGTGGCGCTACATGACAGAGGGAAATTTTGCCCCGACAGGGAATCCCGCAAGTGGCAGCCTGACTCCGGGACTAACAGACCAACCCTAGTCAGTGAAGCTGCAACCGCGCGACCCAGCACTGCCGTGGTCCTTCTGGAGTACGGGGATGTCCCATACACCGGTCAGGCGATGATTATACTCCTTCATGCTCTACCGTGAGTACCTAGAGTCAGTAGGGCTCCGCCCCACCCGCCGACTGGGCGGAGTCCTTAGTCTACCTAGTGTCATAGCCGAACAGAGTGTTAGGACTCTCTGTGTAAAAAGTGTGTATTTAGCTAAATGCTGGTATATACGGGTAGGAGATGCAGGGTCAAACGAAGCTGTGCAACGGAGATCAAAGAAGCTAACGTGACCCGCTATTGATCCGGCTAAATGCTTGTTAATTATTTTAACTCCCGTCCCAGTTTTTGAATAAAGGTCCCTTGAATTTGTTAAACATTTACTCAATCAGATATACATTTTGTGTAACACACAACACACAATTGTTGTAGTAAATGCTTTGTTGAAATTTCAACATTGAGTTGTCTTTTAAAAATAAAGATTATTTACTTATTTGGTATGCCACATTTGCATACATTTAAGTATCTACTTAATAAAGGTCTATTAAAATTAAAAAAGTCAACGGGGTTTGTAGTTTACTTTCCATTTATTGAACTTGTTCGATAAATTCACACAAACTCTGCAATGAAGCCATACAATTCATGTTATTAGGAGCTAACTACATAATGCTGATACACTTTAACACAGCTGTTAATATCTATACGTACGTTGCACACTCTAGTTTTAATTAAAAAATATACAATTCAAACAAAATATTGGTGAAAAGCTGATTACATTCGTGCTATCAATTTTTTATTGAAACAACTAGTTTAGACTAGACTAACTACTTTAGACTTTGATGACCCAATCATGTTGTCTAAAACATAATGTAATAACCATTTTATCAACATATATAATGAAAATACATAGATAGTAACGAGACCTGGGTTTGGACCGTTGCCTTTCAAAATACGTATACAATCACACTGACGTATATAGACCCAATAAAAAGTCAGAATAGTTGATTATATAAAGTGTGATAGCATTAAATACGCTGTCTTATAATATTCCTAACATTTAATTTGAAACAGGTGAATAGCGAGGTAGTAACGAAATGTTGATCAAGTGTATTCAATTAATTTATAATCCACAGCGGTTGCAGATATTGTTGCTGAATATGATTACATTACTCATTATCAACATTACCTACATAATTTACATTTATGATTGGGTCAGTGCAATCGCTTTATTAAGAACTGATTGGGTAATACTGCACTGCCACTTTAACAAATTGGCCTTTTAGAACATTGGTTACCCTGTTTAAACCTTCCAATGTTATTTATTTTTAGAATAGTTATTATAATGTTAAAATAATGAAATGGTCTGGTTTCTACGCTGGTGAAATTATGTTCATCAGTAAGTATATCAAAGCAGGTATGTGTAGGTACAAGGTTCTAACACTTCTTAAAAAATGTATCACCTACGCTAAATAAGAAAAAAACGTTTATTATAGTGTTTTATATACTTTTCAGTTTAAACAATATTATACCTTGTAAAACCTTACAATCAAGTAATTTTAACGAATTTGTACTTATATAATAAAATTACTCATATTTTATTTTACTCATATTATGAGTAAAGTAAATTAGTCGACCATACATATTCTTACAATTATTACAAGCATATTAATATATTTTTGGAAACAAACAATAACTGCATATTCAAGGTTACTGTTTCGAATTCAAAGTTTTTAAAATGTGTTTATAATAATTTATAAGATTGACGACAATAATAAAATATAATTTATAATAATTTTCACATACCTAACATATACACACACAAATACCGACTTTTTATTTACATTCAATGATTATAATATGTTTTTATTGAACTTACTGGTTCTTTTTGGTATTTTAACTACTAATATTAACTTTTATCTATAATTTTAATTCATAAAATGGAGTGTTATCCGAACAAAAAACTAACTGTCGTTTTTGAAAGTAATTAATGTTTAATTTTTACTATAGAGGTCTTATTAACTAACTAGTCATTCCGTTACGTTGAATTAAATCAACAACTAATACCTGATTATATATTAAACGATAATGCGAAATATATTCCGATCAAAGTAAGTAAACAAATATTGGGAATGATTCTAAATGAGCTTATGGTTTGATAATATACCTCATTAATTAAATTACGTATTTCTTGATGCCAATTATCTCGTTTAATCAATTAAATATGTTAGCCTATATTTTTTTATCCTTTATGCTGCGTTAATAAATGATCAATCATAAGAATTCGTTCTGCCTACGTTTTGGGTTCTGCAGTTATTATGATATATTGTTATTTATCATGATCATCATCAATTCTACTATTTCCGGTTTTTATTGTTTTTATCAATGTAACCAATATTTTGTATTAATAAATGGTTTGTTGCATAATATTAGTGTATTTATTTTTAATTTTTAATATTTTTTAGTAATGCTTGAGTAGTGAAAACAATTTTTATATTTATAAATTATTATAAACCAGATCGATCAAGAGAACCCCTAAAAATGTAAGGAACTACGATCATCATCAGTGTTCATAACTTTCATACAATGCTAAATATATTTCAATAAAGATAGATTCACCTGTTATTATGATGGCACGTAATAATAATCACAAACATATACCCGAAATATAAATATAATGGACGAGTGAATAGTCAGTCTGAATTTCAATCTTTACTTGTATGGATTATGATTTCATGTTTCAATTCAATGAAACAAAACAAATTTAGCAAAATACTGAACACAAAAAACGGAATTAATTGCTTACGGACGCGCATCACCATTGGAGTTAAGATACTAGAAACTATTTAAAATAACGGCCACAACTATTTGAAGTTACTCTACCGTATACTTAAATTATAAATTCATCGAATAGTTTGTTATTGTATTCATGATCGTAATATCTGACATAAGTAAACTTAGTTAACGGTCTAACTCCTAAGTTGGAGCCTGTAGCACTGCTGCGAAGTTGACAATAAGCTGGACTCTTGGTCGAACTGCTGCAAATTCTTGGAATCGCCTTAGGACAAATTTGCTCAAACTTTAACCTAGCTTTGCCGCATGTTAAGATAGGACTTAAGTATTTATCTTAAAAGTTGTAAATATGGAATTAACTTTTCTTTCCTCCACATAGTAAGTATGGAATCTTTCCGTTAAAAGAGTTTCCATACACATATATGTTCTTTGGGGCATCATAGACGTTTGTATGGTTATTAACTTCAACGTTTTAGGGATTTAAAAATAAAATGAAACTGTTAATAGTATCAATAATTTATATACAATCAAATAATTATTAAATTAAATTATATATTCGATTATTTATTTTAGTTTCTTCGTAACAAGTCTGTATACAAAAAGCCATCAAACATTAAAACGTGTATTTAATCATTCATTTTTTATGCAAAGTACATTATTTTAAAAACACCCACCTGTAGAAAATAAGTCTATGTAAATAATGAGAAACTTTATTACTTAAAAATAAGTTTGAAACTATGGCAAAAAGAAACAGAAACTCATTTTTAAATGCTACGATAAATACAATTTTGTATTGTGATAAGAAAATTTAAGATACTTCAATTTTATGTGAAAAACTACAACCACATCGTAACACCACTCTGGTGTATTACATAAAATCCGCTAATATATTGATTTCCAAATATATATAAATCCGGATTAGAGATTTATGTTTGTCTGATAGTAAACAAACGCTTGTGTGACCAGCAGCCATTAGCTCCCTTAAAGAACTAAAATATCTTTCCATTCCATTGTATCTTGCTTCTTTATTCTGTAACGAATTAAAAACTCATTATAGTTGAACTTACAAAATCACTCTATTAGCGAATTTCCCTATAGGGAAGTAGCTATTACCGTAGGTCTCATGGTAAGACTTAGGCCCGGGACCGATTTACTTTTTCATTTTGATGTCCCCAGAGGCCAAAAACACCATTCGTTCAAATTTTTATATATGTATATATATATATATATAGATATATATATATATATATATATATAGATTTATATATATATGTGTCCGTGAACACGATAACTTGAGTAATTTTTATCCGATTTTGATGAAATTTGGTTTGAAGGTGTAAGGCGGGATAAACTTGAATGAGTTCGCGATCCAGCATGATCGGACCATGGGAACAGGGTTTTATGGGGGGTTTTATGAGGTAAAAATTGGTTTTTCTCACTTTTGACCCTCAAAACACAAAATTTCCCAATTTTTCTCTAAACCTTCTTAAAGAGCTTAAAAAAACAAACAATTCAGTATATCAAAGTGTTTTTGTACGGTTATTGGTTACGGAGAAAACTAAAAAATTGTAAATTTAAAATTCCCATGTTATTCTTATGGAGAATATTGTAAAATGTTGTAGTTTGCTTGTTTATGGATATCTTTTGTTCAAACTTGGCAAATATATTCATTTTCTACTAAGCAATAATTATTTTACTTAAAACACAAACTTTATCAGTTTCCTTGTAGCAGCAAACCTAGGTACTTGTTAAACCTAATCTATATATTAATAGTGTTATTTAAATAGCTCGATTGAAAATCAATTCAGCCAAATGGAAATTCGCTTAGACGGCAGGTTTGCTGCGGCGGGGGTATTTTAACGTAGTATTTTCATAATGCATGAGTTTTTACAAAATCTAAATATTTGAGCAAATACACTAAATTATGTCATTTAAACTATTTTTTTGGAAATAAGTTTTCAATAGACTTGTCTGTTGAAATACATAATCTAGTTTTCACAGTAGGTCGCCTGAATTCAGTGTACAATTAAGACGTTTTCATGAAGCAGAGTGGAACAGTATTACAATGTCCTGCCAGTTAACTGAAAATCTTCTAATAAAATATTATCGTATTCCCGAAATAAGATTGAGAAAATCATTAAATGTTTTGCTATCCAGTTTTTTTTTTTTTACCAAAACATTAAAGGAAGTCTGTGATAAAAATGTTTTTATGATTTTTTTACATAGAACAATACACAAAAGACGTCTCCTTATTTGTCCATAATAGCAATTACAGTATTGGAAAACCATAAAATTTATATAACCAC